TTATATATTTAGGACTGGAAAAGATGATAAATAACTGGGCGCTCTATTTTTATATTAAGTTTTGTAAATTTATTGAATTATCGACGTATCTTACAATAGTATCTTAATATTTAAGGTAAAGTTAAAAAATATAAAAATTAAATCTAATCATATACTTAGTTGTGGATTGTTGTCAATTTATTACCAGTTGATGGATCATGAAGACATTTTTTTCACTAAAAACTAAAGGAAGTAAAAAAAAAATTATTTATTTCTCAAATCCATAATTTTATTTTACAAGTACTTCATATTCATATCGATGATTGAAAAAAAAGAGACCAAGACCATAGAAATCCTACGCAACATAGGTATCAAATCTTTGCAAACTCCTAACAATATCCTAATATACGTAAGTATAACTACATCAAAATATTGGCATACCTACAACTTACGGTGTATTATCTAATAATTTCTTTAAATTAAAAAAAAAAAAAAAGAACCAACGCAGCCCCGCAGATTCAGATGGCTCTCTTTCGATGGTTTAACGTAAATGTTCATTTTACCATTAATGTCAAATTTATTTTTAGAACACGGACTAAAGCATAGCGAGTTCGTAACTTTTATACAAAATTGAAATACTTGAGTATTCCCCTAATCAATAATAATTTATAGAGTAAAAAAAAAAGAAGAAAACTCAACAATGAAACTTAAAAAACGGTCACCACAATCATTTTATTGTACAAAAAAATTATATGTCACAAGAGCCTTGTTCAAAGATTCAGCTTTAGCGCAAAATCTATACAATGTATGCATGAAAAGCTACACAATTAAGTTTTATGTACACGAAGATTCAAACAAATTCGATAAACAACCTTGATCGAGCGTTCCCATACGAGTTCCATAAAGCGCCGCTACCGGCTTTCGTAAAAAATAATCGCTGGAAACAAATGACGATCCCTGAGAGAGAAAAGAACGTACAAGTCTGACTCACGCACTTGCGTCCCTTAGCCCAGGAACCTGCAATTTGTACTCGAGAAAACACATATTCACTAAATATACACGTATTTACTTGAATACTACTCTCATCACTAGTAAAAACGCTGCTGCTGTTGCTGTTGTTGCTGTTGTGGCTGCTGCTGGTAGCCGCCGTACTGTGATATCGACGTCTGTTGGGGGTACGAGGTCGGAGCGCGAACTCCCGTCGCCGGAACCCCGAACGACGTCGATCCCGTATAACTGGGCTGAGACGGTGGATACGGATTCGACGATATGCCAGCGTACTGGCTCTGACCGCCAAAGCCCTGGCTAAAGTTGTAGCCATTTTTGAGGAAGCCAGAGGAGCTACTGGCAAAGGATTGCTGCTGCTGCGGCTGGTAACTCTGGTACTGGGTACTGGTGTAGGGCAACTGGGCACTGCTCGGCTGGGGCGGATTCAGACCGTAGCTCTGCCCGTAGCTGCTTGGGGGGATGCTCGTGGCACTCGTCACGCCCAGCTGCGTGCTTTCCGGTAGTGGAGAGATATGAGTCTGGGGTACGATTCTACCCGGCAGGCCGCCCATTATGTTGGCGATGAGTTGCTTCGCGTCGTTGAGTATGACGTTCGGGTCGTTGGATTTAGAGTACTCTAGCTTCTTGAAAGGCGGTGAGGCGGAGCGCGAGCGCGTGCTCGACCATATGGGCGGCGACTTGGATTTGGAGCGGCCAAACGACCTCTTATTCGCCCTCTCGTGCTCATTGACGTTCTTATCAGCAGCTTTGTAGATATCCTCGAACGTGTAGTCGTCGTCGTCGTCCGACAGTTCGAGTTTCGTTATCTTGGCCTTTTCGTCGGCCTTCTTGCGCTTTTCCTCCTCCTCCTCGTCGGCGAACATGTCAAGCTTCGGCTTCCACTTTTCCTCGTCGTCGCAGGGATTGTGGGTGCCCTTGCGCATCGAGAACGGCGAAGCACTGCGCCGCGAGAGCCGAGACGGTGGCTCTTCGCGATCCTCCGGCGATATGGGACGAAGCCCTGGCGAGGCACTGGGCGCCGGGCCGAGGTTCACGTAGGCCCGTAGCTTCTCGACTCGCGCGGCATCGGTCGCCTCGAGCTTTTTCAGGAAGTTAATCAGCCCGTGCTGCTCATCCGTGCTAAGTTCCTTGAAGTTTTGCAGTAGGGCCTTCAGATCGTTGTCCGAGAGGCTCTCCATCTTGACCGCGTGATCTACTGGTTTGTCGAACTTTTCAAACTTGTCGTACTTGTCAAACTTGTCGAACTTCTCAAAGTTGTCAAACTTCTCGAACTTTTCGATTTTTTCAAACTTGTCAAGTTTGTCGATCTTTTCAGGCTCAGGTGTCTTGGCACGGAAGTTGTCGTTGATGCCCAAGGAGTTGTCATTGCTGGAGTTGTTGCTGTTGCTACCGACAAAGGTGCCACTGCTCACGGGGGTGCTGTTGCTATTGACGACGCTATTGGTATTGTTGGCGTTAGCCGTGAGGCCTTTGACAAAGTCAGCCGTGGTGACCGGTTTGTCGCTGTTTTTCGAAGCCTCGGCCATGCCAACCACGGCATTGATGAGCGTCTCCAGCTCCTCTTGCGACACATTCGTTCTTCCCTGAGCCACGAGTGCGGCCGCAATGTTCTGAGCGATGGCTACTTTGTCGACGGTCCCGATTCCCGGGACGCTCACTGGCTCGGACTTCACCATGGGCTCAATGTTTAGCGCACGAGTGAACAGGGGTCGCGACATGAACCTCATCGACCTCGACTTTTCCAGCAGCTCCTTTTGCCTCTTCTTCTCCTCTTCCATTTTCTTTTTCGTCTCGGTTGCATTGTGAAGTAACCGCGCTATGTTCTGTATGGCGTTCTTGGTCGGAGGTATGGCTACTTTCTCGATCATTCCTGCGAACACGGTAAAAACCATCAACCTATGATCACATTCGACCAAAGAAATGAAAAAAAAAACAAGAATGAACGAAATGCGATATCGTACCTGCAAACAGCTGACCCTTCAGTTTCTCCTTGACCGTCTCGAAAAGCACGCTCACCTCCTCGTCGTAGAACAGCTCCTCGGCCGAGTTGGGCTTGAGCTTTTCGGCGGCCAAAGCCTTGGACAGCAGCGCCACGATCTTCGGGCCCAGTGAGCCAAGCTGGGACTCGAGAGCCGTGAGCAGCCTCAGCAGGCCAATTATCTCCAGGTCCTCGTTCATGTCCTCTTTCACTGGGCTCGGAGACTTGGCACGCTCGGCCATCGGATAAGGCGACGCGTGGTATCTCATCCGGCTACCCCGCGACGCCGAGGACGTGGGAGGCGGCGGCGGAACCGGGTAGTACGAGGACTTGTAGCCGGTCCGGGAACCTCGTGGCACGTATCCCAGGTACTCACGATCCCTTTCTCGATCTCTCTCCCTCTCTCGCTCGCGCTCCCTTTCCCGCTCGCGCTCCCTCTCCCTCTCGCGGCCCCGGTCACGGTCCCTTTCGCGGTCGCGTTCCCTGTCTCTCTCTCGGTCGCGTTCCCTGTCCCTCTCGCGGTCGCGCTCCTTGTCCCGTTCTCTGTCCCGCTCTTTGTCGCGGTCTCTGTCGCGCTCTCGCTCGCGGTCGTAGTTGCGCGAGCTATAGCGCGACTCGTGGTACCGGTCGCTGGCACCACTGGGCTTCTTAAGCGTGGCGACGTACTCGACTTCGGCGTCGCCGTCGGTCTTCCTGGAGATGCCATTGGGCGAGCGTTTGTTGCGCGACGATGTCTGGCCCGCGCGCGAAGAAGAGGAGGTGAACGGAGGGAGGGGCGGCTCCTCACCTACGACCTCGAGCTTCCGCTTGATGTCCTCCTTGCGCGCCTTGAGCTGATCGGCGTGCAGCTCGCGCATACGCTTGTTCCAGAACTCGATCCACTCGGGCTTGAAGTCGTGCTTGCTGGGGTCCTTGCCCTCGGCCTGTAGCTCCTTGTACCGCCTGTTCCAGAACTTTTTCCACTCGTCCGGGTAAGCCGGGTGCTTCTCCGGGTTCTTCTCGTGGAACTTGAGCTGGCGCTCCAGGGACTCCTCGGCGCGTTTCACTTGGTCCCGGTACTTGAACCATTTGTCGCGCTCGACGGATCGCGAGCGGCCCCGAGGACGGTAGGCTGCCGTTTCCGAAGTGGTTTTCGTCGGGGCCGGGGCCACGGTCTTGCTGACGTGCTCAGTGGGTCGGCTGGCGTTGCGGGCGTTTCGGTCGGGCGAACGGGAACCGGAACGTTTGGGGGACGGACTGCTCGATATGCTCGACAAGGAGGACAGGGACTTTACGTCCTCCAGGTCGTTCCCTGGCTTGTCGGGGCCTTTTCCCGACTGGTTCTTCTCAGCCTTGGCGTTGATCTTGTCCTTGGTCATGATGCGGATCTTGAAGCCACTAAAACACAGCAAAAAGACAAGTACGTCGGCTTGAAAAACTTTTTCACTCAAGAGGATGGTGGAGCGGTGTTTGAAAAAAAAACTTTTTTTTTTTTTCAATTTCAAGTGTAGTAAGTAAGGTGTAAAAAATTTGATCTAAAAACTGAAGAATATAGTTTACTACGCCACAACGGGCGAAAGTACGGAGTTCCATCCCGGGTGTTGACTGCTGCTCAAGCTGAAGGCAACTATGGCAATCATCTGGGAGTCGCGCATTTACTCCGTGCATCAGATTGGAGAGAAGAGCGGGTGTCACTTTTATACGTACTTTTATTTCGAGTAAAAAAGGGAAAAAAAATTGTGCAGCACCACACTTGCACAGAGCGAATACAAGTTTTTTTCCTTCATACAGTTAAATATAGTGCGTTACTCGATAAGGGGGAAAAAATAAAAAAAGGTTCAGATCATTGGCATTTGACAAGAATCTGAGGCTTTTTATTTATTTCACCCCATGGATTGTATACGTTTTTTTGTCAATCTCACACCGAGAGATGAAATTTTTTTTTTCTACAAAGCGTGAAGAAAAATTCTTTGACAACCTTGTTTTTTTTCTTCATTACAAGTCGGAGGGTGCAACATAATTTATCAGGTAAGAATCGCATTTACTACTTATCAGAAAAGTGTCGTCGTGTTTCCTACTTGAAAATTGCTTTTTAAGCCAAAAACGAAGGAAACCATCATGCGAAAAGTTAAGTACTTTTCTTTGTCAGGGGTTATTGGGTAAACTATACGTTTCCAAGTTTAAGCTGGTTTTAGCCCCTCCTCCCTTCACTCGTTGGAAACTATCCCAATTGAAAGTGTCCAATAAAAACTGATGAAAAATATTTTTGTCGGTTTCTAGTCGGCTTTTGCACTCGGGAAACCCCATAAAACACAGTAAGGTTTAAAAGTCGATGTTTCTCATATCTATACTTTTAAAAGCACAAGATTAAACATAAGTAAATGTACAATATATTAGGTCCCACCACCATGATGGCAACACCAAAACAGGGGGGTTACCCATAATTTTTTTTCACATTGAAAATGTATTCTATAAATTTACATATATGTTTATCAAAATAACTGTTATATTGTATACAATTATATTTATAAACAAAAAACTTTACTATAGCAAGTAACTCCTGTTTTAAAAGGAAGTGGGAGGGAGGAGAGGTTATGTCGGGCAAAAACGCTTCCCTGTTACAATTTTACAATTTTATTTCAAAATGAACCGTTAAGAGATCTTCTATGGTTTTATTTAAGTCTGTTTACGAAATTTTATCAGAGCTTGTTGAGTAATAGGGAAGAAAAGAATACGACATAGCAGTCATTTTTGCTTGACATAACCTAATTTTTCCTACGTCCTTTTGACAGTGCATATTCAAGTATTGACAGTCAGTGTTACGAATTTAACGACAAGGGTCCACGCCTACGTGCGATAACTCTTTACATTTAATTTTCGAAAAATCTTTCAAAATTTTCAACAGACAAATCATTTATAAGAGTGACCGAGTTATGCGTAACCACCAAGTTAAACTGTCCAATCAATATTTCCATTGATCAAAGGGTAATTTTTAATTTTTTTATTATTATTCTCATTTAATACACACAAATATATTTATAAGTAATTATAATTCTACTTTAACTGAATTAATTTTTATAATTTTTATTAATTTAATATACAAGCGTGAGTTGTACGAGACTGCGTTCTTTAATCTTCAATCGATTTCCATTAAACCCCCTAAAAAAGGTACAGTGAACCATTTTAATATGCTCCATGCACGTGCAATGCTAGTGCTAACTTGTGATTTGAGGATCCCGCGTGGTTACGAGAAAATGTATTCTATAATAAGCTGATCACTTCTATTCGTCATGAGACGCGACTACTAGCGCCGAAGAGTCCTTACAAAAGTAAATGAAGTGGCTAAAGTTAAAACTAAAACCTCTATCATTTTGCGTGTTCAAAAGAAAAACGCGAAAATGTAGCGCCATTGTACAATGTAAAGAAGCACCATACGGCAATAACTGGAACTAAAACATCTCCCACGCGTCTCATGACGAATTAGAATCTCTTACCTTTTTGACTCGATAATATATTTTTAACTTGAGATTTTTTCATCATAAGTTGTAAAACAGATTTATCTCTTTTCGTTGCTTGAACGCGTGAACTACATAGCATGCGGTAGTAGAGTGTGTTAGAGAGATTAAGCTACTAACACATGCAATGTAGTTTCCACGTACACAAGCAACATAGAGAGATAAATCTGTTTTACAACTTATTAAAGAAAAATCTCATGTTGAAAAGTTAGAGATGCATGAGAATAAAGGTGATAAGCTTCTTAAAAAGTATCTTAGTATTGATGAAAAAAATTATCAACTGGTGTCTACGTATACGTATGTATACACGGAGCCTGTAGCTAAATGTTTAATGGATAACTTGACAGATTCGGTGTGCTTCGCACACTCAAAAATATTTCAATTTCTATACAACTGTCACTGTAGTATATTAAGCCACGATTGGAAGAAAGAACGGCATTCCCTCCTGGATGAATAATTGCTTCCTAGACCGAAGGCGAGGTGCAAAATCGCCTTGGGCTCAGGAGGCAAACAGTAGGGAGTCGATACCATTCTTTTTCCCGTGTAGCGTATGCAATGTTTACCTTCTGTCGTTTATTCCAAAATTTCTGGGTCGAGAGTACAACATAATATGCATCGAAGAACATTCGTGATTTTGACAATGGCAAAAACTATTTTATTACCAATAGCATAAAATATGGAAAAAAAATTCAAAATATAAACAGTATCTTAGCCAAGGTCAGAAAAGTTAAAAAAGTCTCAAACCGTCCAAGTACCGCTATTCCGGTCCCATGGATGGTGCCATATTTCGTTGGGGCATAGCTCTGCGCAATTAACTTTTAGATTGAACTCGTTAGTACTTAAATGATACTTAATGAGAATAATTATCCAAAATTCGCAAAAATTAAGCAATCTTTCTTAGGTTCAATAATCATATCTCAAAAGATTGATTATCACATGACTGAAGCCTTTTTATTCATTGTGTGATTGGTCGAAATAGATCGAGCGTGTATTATTAGGCAAGATTTTTCAAAAATCAATTGCATTACATTGCAGGAAAAATTAAAGCAAAATACATTTATTAAATAGATATAATAAAAAGTTATGCTATTTGGTTTGTTTAATCTTAAATTACTGGGTTACTTTTCTCCTAATTTGTATGAATTTTCGTTACTTACATTATATGGGTTTTGTTTGACACGTTTCATGTCAAATGTGTGGAGATAAATGTTAATCTACTTTTTTATCCAGTAGTTCTCTTCCGGGTTTACAATAAACCAGATTCGGATTTTATATCCATACGTATAGTAAGATTACTAAATGTTACACCCAGTATAGAACTGTTAATTATTTAAAATTCACATGTAAAAATTTAGTTCAAATTAACAATCAAAACTTTAGCGTCAATAATTTTATATGGAATTATGTACATATACGTACTCTTAAAAAGCATTAAAACAATACCGTACGAAAAAAAAATTTGGGTTTCAAAAATTTTGAAAAAACTGTTGTTTATTAAATTAATGACATGCCATACAATAATAGAGATTTTTTTTCTACTGAAACAAAGGTACTTATCGAGATTTCACGAAAATCATGAGAGAATATTTAACTCAAGATATAATAAATAATTTTTTTGGTGATGTTTTACAAAGAATTACGCATGTACTTGCAAGTTGGATCTAAAAATTTACTGCTCCACTGCAAAGCTATGATTCCAACTATATACGGCATCGCCCTCTGGAGTCACCCTACCGGTAAGTCTTTAACGATTATTATAAATATTGTTAATCAATGAGAGAGATCTAGATATAATATTAGAAACATTATTTATAAACGAAATCATCCTATATATATATATATATATATTGGAGCTACTGGGCTCAAAATTCAGCCGTTAGATGGTGCAAGTGTTTGCACATGGCGGGTTTTTCAGTTGAAGGAAAAAAATTGTATTCACAGCGAATTTACTACGTGCAAGTGCATTGGTGCCATTTAATGATGAAATAGTGCCAAAGTTACCGCATTTTTGAAAACCTACTGCAATGTAAATCTAAATACCACGTGATTACTGATGTATCATACTAAATACGAAAACTAGGAGGATGAAGATATGATGATTTTACATCCTTAAATTTTTTCTGTCTTTTCGGAGGTATAAATATTGGAACCATCCATAGAAATTTTTTTAGTAATTGTGATTGAGTTCACGTTCGTTACGTGGTTTCTTATTACAGAGCTTTGTTACTTCTTCAGTCATGATAAAATATCTAATGTTATGAGCACACTTACTTTTCAACTTTCTAAATAGTAGCTAAGAATCTCCACCTTTGCAAAATATTAGGGCACTTGAAAGACAGCATATCAGTTTCTTTAACCTTATCACTTTAGAAGTTCACTTTTATGATAATTTATGATTCACAATATAATTAAAATTGGATTAAAAATGTATCCTTACACGTGGAAAACGACAAACCATATTTATATTATGGTTTGCATAGTAAAAAAACTGCTGCTTACTCATTAGTGCATAGATTCTTAAAAATCTGACTTACCGTTATTGTAAACAATTTTTATCCCTAATACCAATTTTAATGTGATGTTCTTTTAATATATTCGTAGGTGGTCTCATGATATACTTGAGTTTTCACTTTTGGGATTTTTTCATTTTTGGTTCAACTGATTTTCAGTTGTTATAGAAGACAATTTATCAAACTTAATAGGCTTAAAAGTGCATAAAACAATTTTTTTTTAATACCTGAATTGATAACAAACAATTTTCAATGGTTTAAAAAAATTTGTATTTAAAACATATTTTGTATTGCCATGAGTAAAAGAAAAATATCGTTCGGACCTTGGGCACAAACATACAGAACATACCCCGCCTTTCGGACAAGATTTTTTTACTTTGCACGTAAGGTACTATTTTTATCATCATTTCACTTAAGAATTTAATTCACTTTTTTAACAATTTCTCAAAATACTATAATTTTATTTCATCGCTTTGAGAACTACGTGATTAGTTTTAACCAATCACAAAACTGAAAAAATATTAATGCAAAGTTTTAAGACCTTAGGATGTCTCTGAACTGAGAAATTAATAAAACAAATTTTGTAAACTTTGATCTTATTCTTATATTCTTATGAAAATCTACTATTATTTTCAACTTGAAAATTTAAATAAAATGAACAACCATATTTTGACCTAATTACGATCGATAGTAAAACTAGAACATAGTTATTGTGTATGAGAAACATTCAAATCAATTAGGTTTCTATAAAAAATATATTAATAAATGTTTTCAAATATTAAATGTTACGTATAGGTCATGCGTGCGCAATTTTAACTTAAAAGAAGCAAATAGTCGNACGTGAGTTAACGCCCGAAGAAAAACCTAGTGGTTAACGTGAAATCTAATGCATTTTATGCAATCTCCTGTCGAAAGTGCTTCATATCTGCCCCACGAAACAGATAATCAGTTCTTTCGACGAGAGTATGCAGAAAAACAGTATGTGCACCACGTTTGGAGGTTAAGAAATTTACACTAAACGGCAAGATATTTCCGACCCCTTCAACGAGTTGAGTGACACTGAAATCATATACTGAAGTACGTGATTTCAGTGATACTCAACCAGAGGAGGGGGTCGCGAATATCTGGCCTTCTAGTGTATTAGATTTCACGTTAACCGCGTTTGTTCACATTAAATCTAAGACATCCTTAACCTCGCTTGCTAGGTGCGTAATATATCAACTTCCACAAGTGTTCATATTTAAAGTTTTTTAATTAAATAATTCACATAATTGACCAAAATATAACAATTTAACAAGATATGGTATGTTCGTTAGCAAAAAATAAGTATTGTACGTACAAAACTAACCAATCTTAAAGGAAATTAAGGGTAAAAACTCTGCAATTTGATATAACACATTGTGCAAAACTTTATGAAGCTAATAAAGGGTACGACAGAGCTTTATAAGAAAGTTAATTGTAACATAATAAAAAATAGAATACTCCCAACGTGACTTTAAAAGTGATTTGACTATAAACTATGAAATCTCTATCATATTATTTTTTCAACTAACTGTAATTTAACACAGTGAATTTGTATTAATGTCAAATAGTTTGAACCAATTCACAAAAAAAATACTTTCTGTTTTTTACAGCAATCTTTAAATTTTTAGTTTGAAATAATTTTTAATTGTGAATTCTTTAAGCTGTATTTAAATATAAACAAAAGTTTACCTCGAGGTACAAGAAAATCGAAAACTTTTTTATGCATAATTTACCTCAACATACATGCACACATTTACTTTATCAGACACGTATAGAAGAGTGACATTTTGGAATTTCAAGACTAAAACGATTAAGTATGTTAGTTCAACATTTGGTTTTACATATGTTGCAAAGCTTCCTCTTTAGGAAAGCGAAACAAAATAATATCACGTACGGAAATCACCAACAAATTTTAAAATGAAACATGAATATAAACATTTTTGTACATAAATATTAGATATATGAATAAACTTACGATTGTTTATCTGTTGATTTTGGATCAATTGTTTTCACTGATTCTTTAATTTTTTCCGTTTCCTTAACTGCATCCTTTTTTAAAATTTCATCTTTTTCTTCTTGTTCTTCACACACATGAATATAATTGAAAAAGATTATTACCGTGAATGTATTATACTAAGGAAAATACTAGTTTTTATAAAATACATTTACTAACCTTTAACGGTCATCTCTGCCATTTTTTCTTCAAAGTTCGTTGTCCAACGAACATCATAAACTTCCATAAAAGTAATGTCTTGAGTTTCTCTACATAATAAAATTTTTATTAGTAACATTGATAGAATAATTTTATTGATTAAAAAAAAAAAATCAAACAAAAAAGTTTGGTAAGAAAAAAAATTAAATCAAGCTATCAAAAATAGTTAATTCGTTAATCAAAGAAAAATAAAATAAATAAAGAATGAATGAACAGCATAATGAAGTTAACTTACTTAAAATGATAATCTTGAAATATCCTCTTGATAATTTGCACTTTGTTTTTGTCGAAGCTCGCCTTGTCCACCAATTGCGGCTGCAATCTGCCGAAGTGTTGTTCAATTTTTTTGGCAACTAACACTGAAATTTCGTTAGCTCCTCGCTTAAAATTAACGGTATGAGGAAGATTCGATATCGCCCTTGATATCGTGGGAAAGTGACGGTTCAAGTACGTCATACGGTGATTGTAACTGGTAATGTGAGCCATTACCGTGCGAGGATCGCCCCGCTTGTCACACAATGTGCACGTGTAACTGGGTTCAGAACTGTCTGGATCCATCAATTCCAGAAGATACTCGAGCCCAACGAGAGGCGAGCTCCTGTGTCGATCCAGACTCTTTTGAATGGTCGTTGTCCTCGATATTTGATCCTCCATACCCGGAGGAATTGGCTCTCCGGGAGCAACGTCTTCTAAGCTGGGCTTTATCTTTTTCACTATATCTGCACACTTGGACCACAGTAGCACTGGATAAGGCCACTCTTCAAGCTTTATTTTGTGCCGATTACAAATGTTATGACTGAGAAGCTTATGAGCTCCAAACAGAGCAATGTTGCAAATATGGCACCAAACATCACCATCTTCTGTCTCTGAGTATACTGGTCTAAGATTGCCATCTTCAGCTGTCACGCTGGTTCTCATCAATCTCTTCCTATCATTCTCTTCCTGTAGGAAAAAAAAAAATATGTCCATACAGTTATACAGCAACATATGGATGCACAAAAATCACAACTTTGGTATTCAAAATCCAAATACATAAACAAAACTGAACTACTTAATAAATCAAACGAATTGATTTTTGCAACTCGTTAAAAAAATTGTAACGAATCACTTGTACTATTTCGCATGGTAATCATGAAAAAAAACCTTGCAGGGGGTAGAGCAAGTATTTGCTGGTATTCATCGCAGGGTGGGCTGACCGACTTTTCCCAAGCACTTTTAATCGAATCCCACTAACTTATTCGTATGCATCATTATATCACAATCACTATGAATCGCGCGGCATTAAAAATAAGGCCAATTATATCCTCTCACCTCACTACCAGGCAGTTAACTGTGCAACCATTTTGCCTCTGTACTATTTTCACTTTGATTAAAAGAATCAAAACAAAGAACTTCCAAAGGCAGAAAAGATTGTAACAACCGTTTTAATAGAAATAAAAGTAACGGACGATTTGTAAGCTAGTTGCTGATGCACTAGAGCATGTGCCAATATTGTTTCACAAAAAGTACGGAACGAAAAAAAAAAAAAAAAAAAAAGACAAAATAAAAAAAATTTAACTATTTACAACCTAATCCACTTTTGTGAGACACCTTACCTTATCTCGTTGTTCTTCAGAGTTGTGGGAGGAGTTGCGGCCCTCGATGTCAAGGTCGTCAAAGTTCTGCATGGCGATTGTCCCTGTCTTCTGTTTGTTGAGCAACTATTACCACAGCACAGTGTTCCTTTGCTCTCTGGAAAACATTCAATAACAAATTGAGATGCTGACACACAATGTACAACCCTGCAAATAATTAATATCATATTGCTAATGTTTGAGCATAGCCAATTTGTTTGATGTTACTTGCAACGCGACTTGTCTAAGGTAAAATCGAAATTCGGTTCTCTCGCTTCGTAAAAACGCTTTATATGGCTAATGAGAGTATTATGGAAAAAGCAGGGTGATATATCTTTATGCAATCACAAAAACAAATCACCAAGTTTATTAAATGATACTTATTTTAAGCCTGAGGTTCAAAAACTCATCCAAAGATTAATACTGATTTAGTCCAGTCATGTGATCGTCAATCAAAAAATGTGCTCATCTTCCTCATGGTAGTCCTAGGTATAAATTTCAAACTTCAACTGTGTGGCATTTTATAAAAACATAAAAAGCCATCGTTCACAGAGATAATTTTGATAAAATAAACTCGCTTCATCTAGTGTACTTGTCACAGTACTCTTCCTACTTAGCAAATGTTCATGAGATGTTTGGCAAAAAGAAAAAAATCAATGCCACTAAAATTTTACAGGAATAGAATACTATTTTTACTGGCTACAGAGAATTTACGATATTCTACAGGAGCTGACCAAAACCAAAATGAAAATATTTTTTTCTTTGCATAAAATATTAGAGAAATGAGTTGTCAAGTACAAATGATTAGTTTAACATCATTCTGTAACTTTAAACAAAATCATATTATTAAAAAACACCGTGTTTTTATAGAATATGCAAGACTGAAATCTTTAGTGCCACATTGAAAAAAATAAATTCTAAGAACACAAACGTGCAAAAGTAATCATCAAAAGTAAGTATGAATATTCAATATAGATATACAATTTGTTGCTTATTTGTATAAATTTATTTAAAATTATGTACTAAAGATTATAAATTTTTGTTTTATCAAGAACAAAAAAAAATGTAACTTAATAAAATATGTGCAGCATATTCCATTTATAATGAAAATATCTAGTCATACATTACATGTTCGTTGTCCAACGAACATCATAAACTTCCATAAAAGTAATGTCTTGAGTTTCTCTACATAATAAAATTTTTATTAGTAACATTAAAAAGAAGTTTTCAATTTTTATAACCTTAAGATGAACACGATCTTTTATATAATTTATAGAACATATTTTTAGATACTTTCATAACTTAATCAAAGTTTGTTGGTTCATCACTGCCATTCAAATGATTTGAACGTTATAAAAACTGAGATTTAAGAATCAAATTGTTGATTAAGTAGCTATTATGTATAGTTTTACTCGAAAACGGTAAGTAAAAAAATAAAATAAAATGAGTTTCGTATTCAATTACACATTTACAAAAAATTCGTTGAAGGTTCCCAAGATGATTAAGTACATATAGAGCAACCGTCGTTTCCCTTCTTTACGCTGCAGAATGCTTATAAAAAGTTTAGTTTAAAAATTTTTTCTTTAAAAAGTATGATTCTTTAACTTGGTAAGGCACTTTATGGAACCTTGACCGCAAACAACAGTTGTAATGTGACATGGATATGTGCTGGTTAGCTACGAGTAAGTGAGCGATTTGTATGCCAGACCTCACTTTCCTACGAGTAGAGACGTTGAGTGTACAAATTCAGTTTTTTAATTAAAATTATGTTAATTACACGAGTTTAGATGTTGCACTAGCTAATCTTTTTGCACAATTGTACAATAGCGCTGAAATTAACAATAAGACGCAAGAAAATTACGCTCTCAGTGACTCTTGGCCACTATACCTATATTACCTAAATGTATAGATGTATTAGACGTAAATCAGTAAATCAGCTTGTCGAGTAAGTGTGAAAATGAAGGTTTAATCTGCATTAGATAAACTTTCACAAGTTTTTACAGTACGTTGACCTTTTTACTTTTGACGCGAAAAAAAAAGTTTTTAAAAGTTATTATGAAATAGTTTTTGCTACCTGTGTACATTTGCTCATGTGCACTGAGTCTGGGCTAGCAATACCATCGTTATGCTCGAAGGAAGACAACATGTATGTGATATATATATCATATCCTATAACTATAAACTATTCTACCTTTTAATTGGATTCTTATGTTATCAAGAAATATGGAAGTGAGCGTCATTTTATGAAAGATTATAATTATTGTTGTTATTTTTATTATTATTTGTGAAGCAAATGAACGTCAAGAAATAACATTGCATTTTTTGCAAATAGGTATTTTTATCACAAGGTCTGAGTTGAACAATTTCACAATAAAGCAAAAATCAGTAGATTTTATTCAACCGTATGTATATTTACATTTTCCCACAGAATTTCGGACAAGATCATCTGACAAATGCGAGAAAAATCTTGCCGAAAGATAAAATTCTAGCACGAGCTCTTATAAAGAGCAGCATATTTTTTGATTCTCTTTACGGAAAAAAGAAAAATTTTACTCGTCAACAAAATATTAATTGCACCAAATTGAAATATTTAAATTAATTTAATGAAACGATTTGGGGTGATACTCTTTCATTTGTTTGCCTATTTAAACAAAAAAACAAGACAAGGAATTTTATTTGATTAAAGTTAATAAAAAGTTAAGTTATACGTAAGGTATATTTATATTTATTTTAATCTTATGAACCCATACCAGAAAGTAAAATGTAGTCATGGTTGTGTTCCAACGAAGCGCAACAAGCGGTAGTCTGGCCGAGGTGTGGACACATTTTTTATAGGTTATGTTGTACAGATACAGGAAACGCAGACAACATATACTTTCAGCGGGGGTATGTAGTAAATAGTACATTACGCATCTAGTGAGCGAGGTTAAGAATGTCGCAGATTTCACGTGAGTTAACGCCCGAAGAAAAACCTAGTGGTTAACGTGAAATCTAATGCATTTTATGCAATCTCCTGTCGAAAGTGCTTCATATCTGCCCCACGAAACAGATAATCAGTTCTTTCGACGAGAGTATGCAGAAAAACAGTATGTGCACCACGTTTGGAGGTTAAGAAATTTACACTAAACGGCAAGATATTTCCGACCCCTTCAACGAGTTGAGTGACACTGAAATCATATACTGAAGTACGTGATTTCAGTGATACTCAACCAGAGGAGGGGGTCGCGAATATCTGGCCTTCTAGTGTATTAGATTTCACGTTAACCGCGTTTGTTCACATTAAATCTAAGACATCCTTAACCTCGCTTGCTAGGTGCGTAATATATCAACTTCCACAAGTGTTCATATTTAAAGTTTTTTAATTAAATAATTCACATAATTGACCAAAATATAACAATTTAACAAGATATGGTATGTTCGTTAGCAAAAAATAAGTATTGTACGTACAAAACTAACCAATCTTAAAGGAAATTAAGGGTAAAAACTCTGCAATTTGATATAACACATTGTGCAAAACTTTATGAAGCTAATAAAGGGTACGACAGAGCTTTATAAGAAAGTTAATTGTAACATAATAAAAAATAGAATACTCCCAACGTGACTTTAAAAGTGATTTGACTATAAACTATGAAATCTCTATCATATTATTTTTTCAACTAACTGTAATTTAACACAGTGAATTTGTATTAATGTCAAATAGTTTGAACCAATTCACAAAAAAAATACTTTCTGTTTTTTACAGCAATCTTTAAATTTTTAGTTTGAAATAATTTTTAATTGTGAATTCTTTAAGCTGTATTTAAATATAAACAAAAGTTTACCTCGAGGTACAAGAAAATCGAAAACTTTTTTATGCATAATTTACCTCAACATACATGCACACATTTACTTTATCAGACACGTATAGAAGAGTGACATTTTGGAATTTCAAGACTAAAACGATTAAGTATGTTAGTTCAACATTTGGTTTTACATATGTTGCAAAGCTTCCTCTTTAGGAAAGCGAAACAAAATAATATCACGTACGGAAATCACCAACAAATTTTAAAATGAAACATGAATATAAACATTTTTGTACATAAATATTAGATATATGAATAAACTTACGATTGTTTATCTGTTGATTTTGGATCAATTGTTTTCACTGATTCTTTAATTTTTTCCGTTTCCTTAACTGCATCCTTTTTTAAAATTTCATCTTTTTCTTCTTGTTCTTCACACACATGAATATAATTGAAAAAGATTATTACCGTGAATGTATTATACTAAGGAAAATACTAGTTTTTATAAAATACATTTACTAACCTTTAACGGTCATCTCTGCCATTTTTTCTTCAAAGTTCGTTGTCCAACGAACATCATAAACTTCCATAAAAGTAATGTCTTGAGTTTCTCTACATAATAAAATTTTTATTAGTAACATTGATAGAATAATTTTATTGATTAAAAAAAAAAAATCAAACAAAAAAGTTTGGTAAGAAAAAAAATTAAATCAAGCTATCAAAAATAGTTAATTCGTTAATCAAAGAAAAATAAAATAAATAAAGAATGAATGAACAGCATAATGAAGTTAACTTACTTAAAATGATAATCTTGAAATATCCTCTTGATAATTTGCACTTTGTTTTTGTCGAAGCTCGCCTTGTCCACCAATTGCGGCTGCAATCTGCCGAAGTGTTGTTCAATTTTTTTGGCAACTAACACTGAAATTTCGTTAGCTCCTCGCTTAAAATTAACGGTATGAGGAAGATTCGATATCGCCCTTGATATCGTGGGAAAGTGACGGTTCAAGTACGTCATACGGTGATTGTAACTGGTAATGTGAGCCATTACCGTGCGAGGATCGCCCCGCTTGTCACACAATGTGCACGTGTAACTGGGTTCAGAACTGTCTGGATCCATCAATTCCAGAAGATACTCGAGCCCAACGAGAGGCGAGCTCCTGTGTCGATCCAGACTCTTTTGAATGGTCGTTGTCCTCGATATTTGATCCTCCATACCCGGAGGAATTGGCTCTCCGGGAGCAACGTCTTCTAAGCTGGGCTTTATCTTTTTCACTATATCTGCACACTTGGACCACAGTAGCACTGGATAAGGCCACTCTTCAAGCTTTATTTTGTGCCGATTACAAATGTTATGACTGAGAAGCTTATGAGCTCCAAACAGAGCAATGTTGCAAATATGGCACCAAACATCACCATCTTCTGTCTCTGAGTATACTGGTCTAAGATTGCCATCTTCAGCTGTCACGCTGGTTCTCATCAATCTCTTCCTATCATTCTCTTCCTGTAGGAAAAAAAAAAATATGTCCATACAGTTATACAGCAACATATGGATGCACAAAAATCACAACTTTGGTATTCAAAATCCAAATACATAAACAAAACTGAACTACTTAATAAATCAAACGAATTGATTTTTGCAACTCGTTAAAAAAATTGTAACGAATCACTTGTACTATTTCGCATGGTAATCATGAAAAAAAACCTTGCAGGGGGTAGAGCAAGTATTTGCTGGTATTCATCGCAGGGTGGGCTGACCGACTTTTCCCAAGCACTTTTAATCGAATCCCACTAACTTATTCGTATGCATCATTATATCACAATCACTATGAATCGCGCGGCATTAAAAATAAGGCCAATTATATCCTCTCACCTCACTACCAGGCAGTTAACTGTGCAACCATTTTGCCTCTGTACTATTTTCACTTTGATTAAAAGAATCAAAACAAAGAACTTCCAAAGGCAGAAAAGATTGTAACAACCGTTTTAATAGAAATAAAAGTAACGGACGATTTGTAAGCTAGTTGCTGATGCACTAGAGCATGTGCCAATATTGTTTCACAAAAAGTACGGAACGAAAAAAAAAAAAAAAAAAAAAGACAAAATAAAAAAAATTTAACTATTTACAACCTAATCCACTTTTGTGAGACACCTTACCTTATCTCGTTGTTCTTCAGAGTTGTGGGAGGAGTTGCGGCCCTCGATGTCAAGGTCGTCAAAGTTCTGCATGGCGATTGTCCCTGTCTTCTGTTTGTTGAGCAACTATTACCACAGCACAGTGTTCCTTTGCTCTCTGGAAAACATTCAATAACAAATTGAGATGCTGACACACAATGTACAACCCTGCAAATAATTAATATCATATTGCTAATGTTTGAGCATAGCCAATTTGTTTGATGTTACTTGCAACGCGACTTGTCTAAGGTAAAATCGAAATTCGGTTCTCTCGCTTCGTAAAAACGCTTTATATGGCTAATGAGAGTATTATGGAAAAAGCAGGGTGATATATCTTTATGCAATCACAAAAACAAATCACCAAGTTTATTAAATGATACTTATTTTAAGCCTGAGGTTCAAAAACTCATCCAAAGATTAATACTGATTTAGTCCAGTCATGTGATCGTCAATCAAAAAATGTGCTCATCTTCCTCATGGTAGTCCTAGGTATAAATTTCAAACTTCAACTGTGTGGCATTTTATAAAAACATAAAAAGCCATCGTTCACAGAGATAATTTTGATAAAATAAACTCGCTTCATCTAGTGTACTTGTCACAGTACTCTTCCTACTTAGCAAATGTTCATGAGATGTTTGGCAAAAAGAAAAAAATCAATGCCACTAAAATTTTACAGGAATAGAATACTATTTTTACTGGCTACAGAGAATTTACGATATTCTACAGGAGCTGACCAAAACCAAAATGAAAATATTTTTTTCTTTGCATAAAATATTAGAGAAATGAGTTGTCAAGTACAAATGATTAGTTTAACATCATTCTGTAACTTTAAACAAAATCATATTATTAAAAAACACCGTGTTTTTATAGAATATGCAAGACTGAAATCTTTAGTGCCACATTGAAAAAAATAAATTCTAAGAACACAAACGTGCAAAAGTAATCATCAAAAGTAAGTATGAATATTCAATATAGATATACAATTTGTTGCTTATTTGTATAAATTTATTTAAAATTATGTACTAAAGATTATAAATTTTTGTTTTATCAAGAACAAAAAAAAATGTAACTTAATAAAATATGTGCAGCATATTCCATTTATAATGAAAATATCTAGTCATACATTACATGTTCGTTGTCCAACGAACATCATAAACTTCCATAAAAGTAATGTCTTGAGTTTCTCTACATAATAAAATTTTTATTAGTAACATTAAAAAGAAGTTTTCAATTTTTATAACCTTAAGATGAACACGATCTTTTATATAATTTATAGAACATATTTTTAGATACTTTCATAACTTAATCAAAGTTTGTTGGTTCATCACTGCCATTCAAATGATTTGAACGTTATAAAAACTGAGATTTAAGAATCAAATTGTTGATTAAGTAGCTATTATGTATAGTTTTACTCGAAAACGGTAAGTAAAAAAATAAAANACAGTCCATTTTAATATTTAAAAATTAAGAGACTTGTTAATAACTTTTATGATTTCATATTAAATTGAAAATTAATGCAAGTACCCACTACCTAAATAGCAGTTATAATATGTGCAACATAGTAGAAATTTTTCAAAATATCTTTTAAGCATGAAAAACAAGGGAATATTGGGATGTATTTAAAATATTTTTACTCACAATATTTTTTAACTATTACAATGTTTACGTTTAAAATAGTTTTAAGAAAACTATCATAATGTCTTGTTGCAACATCTTCACTTTGCTAAAAAGTAACAGAACAGCCCCATTAAAATTAATTTTACCTAAAATGTCTTTAATAAATGTAATTTTCAGTATTATTTCAAAGTAACTACAGAATGATAATACTTCCATTATGAACAGATAAACGTATCTCTAAGAAGAGTCATTAGAGATTACAGTGTAACAAACGTTTCTTTTGATTAAAAAGAAACTGAAATATACTGAGTTTCTAACCTGTGAAAGAAAGCCTGTAAGTTTTTTATGTAAAAATGTAAGAGGGCATTTACTTACCGAGAAATTTTTTAAATTTAATAACAGCAGTAATTGAACACTGTTGAAAACTGTAAATCAGTTATCTGTCGTATAATTCTATATGTTGGGGATGTAACTATACATGTGGTTGATATATTGAGTACACTGTGTTACACAACAACCATAATTAAAGAGGAGATAAGCAGATCAGTTGATGGTTTTATCGGATTCGTTTTGAAAGCCAAGAATTACTAGAGTTTTACCTAATGTACTTTAAGACGCTTAACACTACTTTTCAACTGTTTTAGTGTTAAAGTATTTATAACCAGAATACAACTATGTTAGAAGATAGAAATATGTCATAACTTATTTACTTACCACAGTGTCTAAATAATATTCTGAATCTTCAGGATGTTAAACATTTTTTAATATTGAAAAAAAAGTTTAAAGTACTGCTCTACTTTTGAGTAAATAGGAGTTCAATCTTTAAACGGTGATAAACATAACCAGCACTAGTAATCGAATTTTTATGATTTATTCTGACTCTTGGCTATAATTTGTAGTTTTAGTTGGCATAGCTTTTTTTGTTTGGTATGATATCGTAAGCTCAATGCATTCGACTAATTATTTAACCAATAAATTGTGCTAAAAGTTACCTGACTCATACGAAATAAGATGAAATAACTTTCAAACTATTTCCAGCTACTTACCAAGAAAACAATAATCAGCTGGAGTGGCATGTTTCAGTGAAAAACGAACCATCACTTATTAAACGTAAACACTATCATAATTATGTCGAAAGCTTAGTAAAATAGAGCTTAACTTCGCAAAAATACAAAGCTTAAATAAGTTATACTGTTACACACTGGGTGTGCAAACCCCAACTAGCTCTGTGTTGGAAACAAATTATCAGTAGGTAGAGGTGATAAAAGGGGACGCAACGTGTAGATAGATAACTAGCGCTGCTTGGATTAAAATGAATGAGAGAAAAGTACAAAAAGAAAACGAGAAGAAAAGGGACGCGCGCTTACACGGCTTCTCATAGGCGTACAGTACAGCAAAAAATGCATGATTTTTTCGACTACGCTGCCATGGTACTCATACACATGCGTATACATACATAATAATGCAAACACATAACTATACCTACCTATGAGGCAATAATTGTGTATAACATTATTACTATCCAGATAAGTAGTCATGAAAACGAAACGTAAAAAATTCATACAAGCACGCGAGTTTGTGTACAGGTTTGTGTTGTATACCTTTAAAGGTATAGATATATATTTTTTCGAGGGTAGTCCCTTGGCAGGAGCGCTTCCTGTATACTTTTGGATTTGTAGATCCGAGACAAACTTTGTTGGCCAAAAAATTAAAAAGTACAGACATAGGAGCGTGAATAAAAGACACTTACATAACTTATAAGATCCTTGCCGTAATTTAAATGGCAACTAGCTCAATAACTGTCAGCATCTTCAAAACGGAGCACACCACGCAGAGGTTGTCATCCGGAGTTTCGGGACGAAAACCCTAAGAAATACCCCTAGAGCTCCCTTATCAATGTTTATCACTTACAATGGCGAATCGTACCATATAATTTCGTACCTACTAATGCACTCGACTAGTAAGTAAAGCCGACAAACGACAAAGAAGAGGAGGAAGTCGCTACACACGCACGACGCACGGTAGCCATGCCGGCAAATGCGTAGTACATATGCATATTACCCATATATAGAGGGTACAGCACAACAGCAGTAACAGCACCAGCAATAAAACATAAAACTGCACACAGTTGCACACAGCAGCCATTCATACATACACACACCTGTATGTAATGGTATGTATGTGCAAGATGTACATAATTACATATAAAGATATAAACAGCACACACACATAAACGTATTTATATGTAGAATATATTATAGATAGACACGAAGGAGGCTCGCTTTCACGCAATTGTACTATACCACCACCGTCACTACCTCCTGTTTCCCGAGATTCCGTATGAACTTACATATTCGTAAGAGGTTATATTGTTATATGTAACAATTCAGCTCCAGCTCCAGCTTAAAAACGCGAGCCGAAAAGCCACGCGAGATTTTATTAGAGACTCTCGTCGAACTTACCCTTGCAAGTAGTGTATAGCTGATGAATGTCCCTTGTTTTTTCTTTACTCGAGAGATGACGTCTCTCGGGACTATTTTAGGGACAGGGTACGGGAAAATCTTTAGTCCCACACCTATAGAGTAGTTAGCGTCGATAATCCTGGGGCACTAATCGTCTACCGACCTCTTGGTTTCGCCGCCATTTTTGCGCTCTCTAAAAACTAATCCCGTAACTCTCTGCTGTTAACTGCACACCTCCTTAGAAACGACGTGCTAGGGGATAGTGCGTTCTATGGGTCTCAATTCTCAATATTGTACCGATTATACCCATAAACATACAAGAAATAGACTGCTCATTCTTACGTAGGACCTAGGACCATAGGAACGAGTAGTCTATAGTTCTTGTATGCCTACTGGCCAGGTGGCCACCTTTTAAGTACACGCAGACGTCGCAGACATAATAAGAGTGAAGAGTGAGTAAGGAAATAACGGGAATAAGAATGAGAGGCCATGGATGAACAGCGGGAATGAAAAAAATAACGTATTGATGTTTGATGTACTATTGTTTAGTGTACACTTATTTAAAAATATCAGTCGCGGCTGTTGGCGTAATTTTGTTAAAGTCTAGGCTTTAATACGTTATTCCGCTTGTTCCTGCTGTTATTTCTTTTATTCCCGTTATTTCCTTATTAGACCAAGAGCTAAGGCCCGAGGGTAGTCAAAAATCTAAACCAGCCGCCACTCTCACATGAATTGATAAATATCCTGATTCACAGAGATTCAAAATATTTTTGTCATGTTTCATTCTATTGAAGAGTTAAGTGGTAATTAAAGTTGCACCATGTATTCGATTTTATAAACCGGCCGCAATTTTGACTAACGCATGTAATCTATACACATGTGTTCAGAAGGGTGCCATTTACGAAAAGATTGAAATTTATCTTCTACTTGAGAAAATCGACCATGGATCCATTTTTCTAAAGGTCGAATTTCGAGCAGAAGATAAATTTTTATCTTGCCGCAAGTGGTAAATTGTTAAAGAACTTTTTGTTTTCTATCCGTTGATTTATACTGCGGCTGGCTTTTAGTAACTACATAATTACTCTTCCCAATAACCCAATAACTCTTCATCAGAAAGAAATATGCACAAATATTCCCGAACTCAAGCATCTGGGCTCAAGTGCAAGTTGAACAAACCTAAAATTACCAATTTCAAATCTTGAAAAAAAAAAAATTTAATCTGTATGTTTACATATTAAGTTTATCTATACTTAATTACTTATGGTCTTTGAGATAACTTGTACTTAATTGGATGAAGTATAAAGTGCAACTATCGCGCAAGCGGTACACAATTTCAGCACTGCGCACTTCTTAAATATAACCTTTGATAGAGTCGCGCGCGAAATGATTAATTCTGCATATGTAGCAGCTGTAAGCGCGCAGTAACGACAGTAAACAGAGACTTTACTACCCGGTCCCGGTGACTTTGTTTGGTTTCATTTTTTTCCACCTAAAACGTCAATCGAAAACACAATACTCCCATTATGTTCGTTGCAAGAAGAGCCCTTGTCACTGGATCTCGGTAAGTGCGAACTTCCTTACGTTTTTTAACCCTACCATCTCGTATATTTTGAAAACTAAAGTCAAAGAAAACTACCCTGCTGCCTCTCTCCCGGTTATTATGTAATTCATAACCTTCGCGTAGTTTTTGAATTATACATCCACTGTGATGGATTTTTCAATCTCAAGTCTCAGACAGATCTGCTTATTTTCAGAATATGCAAGGAGACTGCCATCAGAGCAAAGCACTGCCTGCCAGAGCTGCCATACGACTACAAGGCCCTGGAGCCCATCATCTGTGCTGAAATCATGCAGCTCCATCACTCCAAACATCATGCCACCTATGTAAACAATCTTAACGTTGCCGAGGAAAAGCTGAAGGAAGCCGTTGCCAAGGGTGATGTCAGTGCTCAGATTGCTTTGGCACCTGCTATCAAGTTCAACGGAGGTGGCCACCTGAATCACAGCATCTTCTGGCAAAATCTTTCGCCCAACTCGTGCAAGCCAGATGGTTGGTTTTTAATATACCTCGGCTTTCTCTGCTTTAAACTGTTACCTATACGTTTGTTAAGATTTCCTAGGAAATTGGAAAATTCTCCATTTTTTTTTCCTATTTGTTGTTAAGTATTAACCTTGTATTTTTCGTCAACAGCTGCTCTCTTGAGCCAGATAGAAAAGGACTTCTGTAGTTTGGAAGAGATGAAAAAGAGACTGTCGGAGGCAACGGTTGCGATTCAAGGCTCTGGCTGGGGCTGGCTTGGTTACAATCAAAAAGATAAGCAACTGCAGATAGCCACCTGTGCCAATCAGGATCCGCTTCAAGCGACGACAGGATTGATCCCACTGTTTGGTATCGATGTGTGGGAACACGCTTATTACTTACAGTACAAAAATGTGCGACCAGACTACGTGAAAGCAATCTTTGACATTGCCAACTGGAATGATATTGGTGCTCGTTACAAAAAAGCTGCTGGTTGCTAGACATCCAGAGTTGTCAGATTTTTGGAGCATTTAATTCTGTTATTGCACGAATCGCAGCGCGAGATTAGAATCGCAACTTTTGTATCTATGATATGCATTACATTAGTTTCTTAAGATACTCCAAAGCACCCTTTGTTTTATATGAAACATTACCAGGTCTGTGATTATAATTGTAACGCAGTGGTAAATACAAGGCTTGAAACATCCAAGAGAAACTCGTCATGTATTAATTTTTTCATTTTTTCTTTCATTCGATTTTTTGGAATTATTTTTTTGCTTTGTCCTAAAGATTTTACATTTTACATTGATTAACCAACGTAAGATTTTAAATAAAAGCTTGAAAGCTAATGGAAAAAAGGAATCATTATTCCGTCCAAGTATGAGTATCAGTTTAAATATAGATCAGCGTATCGGTTGATCTTGTAATTTCGCGGCGTACAATGTTCGTTCCAAGTTCGCATGAACAGTAGGGAAAAGGTCGTGTTAAAGGGAACACTGCGGAACGCGGACCACCAGTATGGCCGAGGATGCTTCAGCTGTTTTCGCGTCCTCCTGGGAGCCCACTCGGCGTGTAATCTTCTCAGGTAAGTGTCAAAGGGTTATTACTGCAAATTCGTCTTGAAAATATCCCGCCCTTCCCATTTAGTGATGACCACCGCGTCCGATGCCTACGGTTCTGCCTTTGCTTAGACCAAGGACATGTAAACAAAGCGTGTGTCTGCATCCCCCCCCCCTTCTCAATCGTTGATATGCTTCTGCTACTATTGTTGTTGTGACTATATATACATGACCTGTCAAATCAAAGACGGATGGCGCGTTATACTGTCTATGCGACAGTTCTGGCTTATTTTTATCATTTTAATTGGTGTAAATTGGAGAGTTTGTACATTTAGTGGTAGCGAGCTGCGAGTTTTTTAAGTTTCTTTGATATTATATTAGAGAATAATAAGCAGGGAGACGTTGAGCAGTTCAAAAAATTATTTATAGTTTTCTTGATAATTATTTCGTGTTTAATTTTCACTTTGATTAAAAAATTAAGTATAAAACAGCATATTTTTGCCACATATTTAGTCATATACAAGCTGACAAAAAAACTTATAGGATATTAGTGCCATAGTTGATAGACTATTTAAGTATACCCTTAAGATATAGGTATCTATGAATTGTTTTGCATGACTCATCGGGCGAGTAATGGAAATACTGTGTTCTCAGCCAGGATTCATCGAGCTGACATCGACTGCATGTCATTTTATAAATATGTAGTTATCGAGGAAGTGAGAGTAGGTACATTAAGTACCATATTCATTTTTTTATGCGAGAAAAATTTTTTCCCGTAAATACTTTTCTTTTATTACAGATTATTAATTTTTACGTTTTTTATTGTTTTTATGAGTTGAATTATATAATGCAAAAAAAACGGAAAAACTNTGTAAATCCTTTTTTTCGTTGTTAATAATGTGTAACAAAAACTTTAAGCTCCGGTGGATTAAAAATAATGCTGTAACAGCTAAGCAATACCTGATTGATAATTATAAAAAACGTATTTTCCCAAACTTCAAGAGTTTTTCACTCCAAAACTTAAGTTGTATACATTCCAATTAGTTCTTTGTTCAAAGTGTATCAAAGCAAGCTATGAATTTTTTTTGTGATCAAAAATTATCAAATTTTACTATTTGTTATTAATGTTTGTTAATAACAATCAATTGTTGAAAATTAAGGAAATAACCATTATTTATATATAGTGTTCAAGAGATAAAAGCATATCGAATAAAAAAAAGTTTGTGTAGTGTATTAATATACAAAATAAACAAAATCCGTATACATTTTTTTTATAAATGATTATTTTTCTTTTAAATTTCGTATGATGCACAATCCCTTACCATCTGTTTTTTTATAAAAAGGAATATTTGAATTTTTCAGTTCTTATATTGATTGTTAAAAAAGCTTTTTGTAAAAAATTTATTTTTAAAATACTCACTTTTTGTGTACATTTGCTGTGTGCCATCTATTAAAAACTATTACTCCACATTCTGAACAAATTTTTTAATTTCCTGGATTGTGCATTAGTATTATATACAGTGTGCATAC